TTTTTTTTTCTCTTTCTCCCATTAATATTCAAGAGGTATGGAAAACTTACCTCAGCTAATGTAATAAGAAGAGGATCGAATGGCAGATTTTCAGGAGGGCATTCCCACTGTAATCGGTGCTTTACTGAACCATGCACCAATCTAAAACACAAGAGTCACTTAATATACAAGGAAAATATAAGTGTCTATCAAGCAGGATCATTTTGCATGATCCTGTGTTCAGAGAACACAGTTATACCAGGTTATACTCTAAAGACAGCTTTAAAAGTAATACATGCAATCCTGCAACACTTGACCTTGTCAGCAATATGGTTTGGTGGCAAAACAAAAACCACCCTGACTTTGTTAAACCTACAGATGTGGTATGCAGTATGGGGTTATTCGTGAAGTTAAGAGTTACACTTTAAATTTTCTCAGTTATAACACCACCAAAATAGGTCACCAACTGAAAATGAAAACTAGCAAACTGTAGGCATTCCAAACAGTAGATGTTTTGATAAATAACCATTGGTTTTTAGGAGGAGCCCCGGTAGCACAGTGGTTAAGTGGACTGCTAAGTGCAAGGCTAGTAGTTCAAAACCACCAGCTGCTCAAAGGGAGAAAGATGAAGCTTTCTACTCTCATAAAGGTTTACAGTTTCAGAAAACCACATGGGCAGTTCTCCCCAGTTCTACGAGGTAGCTGTGAGGCGACAACAGGCATTGAATGGATAGCAGTTAGTTTGGTTTTGAGATCTGTATTACTAACCTTCACATTAATGATGTGAGGCAGGACAGGGTGAGCCTTGTGAAAGAGATGAGAGATGAAGCCAGGAAGGCAAACTGGCCTGTCCAGGGGGACCAGTAACTTGAAGGATGATCTCTGATGCTTTTTTTTTAACAGCCTTGGTTGAGGTGTACATGACTCACACACACACATACACTCTTCCTGGTGTCCACAGTGTAGGTGTCCTAAGTTCTGGTACCAGAACACACCCACAAAGCCACCCCTCCACTCAGGGACTCAGGTGTTTCTTCCCCTTAACTATGTTCTCCTTGGCTCCTCCTTTCCTGCTGTTTTCTTAACAGTTGTCACCCTTTCACAATTTCTACCCAAAATCAACAAGTCAAAGGAGACCTTTTAAAAGATCATGAATTAGGAAGCTGACTGTGTTAGCCCAGGTAGACTAGAGAAACAAATCTAGGGAGACCCATGTGCATAAGAAAGAGCTTTATATACAAGAGCAATTGAATATTGAGAAAATATCCCAAAGCAGTCCAGATCAAGTCCATAAGTCTGATATTAGCCCTTATGTCTGATACCAATCTATAAATTCCTCTTCAGACTCACGAAACACATGCAATGACGCCAAATGCAGGAAGATCACAGGCCAGTGGGTGGAAAGTCTTGTGGATCCAGTGGCAGTGTAAGCATCTCAGCACTGGCGTGGATCTCCACATGGCTCTTCCAGCTCCAAGGCTCTGGCTGCATCAGCATAGCTCCATCAGGCTCTAATGTCTCACAGGGACTGAGTGTGTGTCGCACCTCCTGTGAACTATTTATTTCCTTAGTGCCTCCAAATGAGTTCATCAAGCTGCAACATGATTGACAGGCTACACTCCACCCCTTCACTCTAAGTCTCAAGTTGACAATAGATTATGTAACTACCACACTGAACACAAAAGGCAGGCAATTCACGCTGGCCAACAGTGGAAGGAAGTTTCTTGAGTGTATTTTTCACAGTTCGCCAAATCTGAGAACACCATTGAAAACTAAAATGTGAATTCTGGAACCAGAACACACCCCACTCAACAATGTCACATCGTTCGTGTCTTCCCACAACGTCTGTCATTTACAGAAGGCAATGCTGGGTGCACTTTAATGTGCCTGGGTCGAACGCAAACTCACTGCCAGCAATTTTGCCCCAGAGTGAGCCTATCAACAGGTTGGACTGCCCCTGTGGGTTTCCAAGAGTGTAACTCTTCACAAAGGTAGAAAGCCTCACCCTTCACCCGAGGCGCTGGTGGTTTCCAACTGCCAACATTGTGGTTAGCAGTCCAACGTGTAACCAACTCTTCTGGGAGGACATCTTAAATGGATATCACATCAATGCACCCACGGTAGTTTCTTTTGGAGAAGTTTCCAAAATACAGTGTCCTTTAGGGTATTTCTGATTCCTTTCCAGAAGAGAGCCCAGAATGACAGCCCAGGCAGCAGAAAGACCCATATGTGCTCACGGAGGAGAATAAACAGTCTCGTTCCATGGCTAGCTTTCCAGTGTACAAACCAAATAGGATTGGGGATTTGCAACTTGTAAGCCTGGATTGCTAAAATTGGTTATTTTAGGAGGTGGGTAGTTTAGTTTCTTAAATTCTTTGTCATTTACTATAGCGCTATCTGTGGTTCTACTTTTTAATTACAATGGTTTTTGTCACAAAGGCCCAGGGAGCTGTGCCAACCCACATGTGAAGAAGTCATTTTTATTTCAACCACACATACATGAAACTCTCAACATATTTACGCCCAAGAATGTAATGACTTCCCTTAGGTACTCTGAATAGCACCGTCTGCAGTGACAACGCACACTGATTTTACCTGCAGGGAATCCCTCCTTTAGAGTAAATGGCCGCAAACGCAGACGGGGCTCGTGGCTGATCCCCAAACTGAAATACAAAATGACAAAAGCAGGGTAAATGCGACCACCATCACCGCTACCTTCGGCATCGAATCCCTGTCCTGGAGCACTGGTGGCGTCAGGGTTGCATGTTGGGCTACTAACTGACTGTACGGCGAGCAGCTTAAAACCTCCAGCCACTCCCAGGGAGAAAGACGAGGCTTTCCACTCCCATAGAGAGTTACAGTCTCAGGAACCCACAGAGGCAGTTCTACCCTGCTCCGTAGGCCATCATGAGTCGCTTATGACTGGATGGCAGTGAATTTTTAATGGGTTCCATTCCTGTTCAGGAAAGAGGGAGAGGGGCCCACCCCTAGTCGCAGTTCTGGCATCAAGGGTGCCACTCCCACCCAGCAAAGGGCTCCCACCCTGCTGAAAGCAACTCCCGAAGCACCCCAACCACACCTGGTGGGCTGACTTCCCCCCTAACTTCTTACACAGGGACAGAAGTGGCTCAAACGATATGAAAACTGCCATCGCTGCCCAACTCCTCTCCGCTGTGAGGCAACTCAAGTTCAAGGATAAAGTCTTGGTTTCCAGCCACCAAATATGGGTAGTCTTAAAGATCATTTTACTATCTAGTATTGCGAATGCAATCAAATGAAGTCCGTGCACTGCTGTCCTGAATCCAGAGCTTGAAAAACAAAATCTATACGATTCAAGTGAGGCATCTGTTTTGTTTTTAATTTTTATTTATTTATTTGTAGGGGGGGTAGACATTTGTTTTCTATGCTCATGAAGTACAGGTGGAGATTCTGCCAAACAAATGGTGCCAGGGCATCAGCTTTTACTGTGTGCTGACCAGTGGACGCCAACTCACAGCAACCCTATAGGACAAAGGCGACCTGCCCTACAGACTGTGATCTTTACAGAAGACGACAGTGGGCTCAAACCACCGCCCTTTACTTAACAGCCAAGTCCTTCACCACTGCACCCCTAAAAAGCACTCCCTTACCAATGCCCAATCCCTATCCACCTTTTCCCACCATCTTACCTTCCAACACCACCCACCAATTGTAGATCCATCATCTCTTCCCCTCACAGAAGTGTTCTTTTCTAATACTTTCTGTCCTCAAGGTAAAATCATAAATTGATCTCCCAAGAGTTTCATTAATTTTTTAATGACATTCAAGGCTAGAGCCACTGAATATTATTGACTGGTATAGTTTTTCTTTGCAGATAAACAGTCACATTGAAGGTCACCCTAAACTAACTCCTCTGCACATACATACAAAGCCGCCTGCCTTCACACCCCTGGGCATTCCTTGAGAATTCCACTTCCAGGTCACTGGGTAGACTGCAGCAAGCTGCAGGGGGACAGAGAGGCTCAAATGATGTTCCACTTCCTTTGGCAAAAGCCAATCTCCTCCCCTCCAAGAGTTCTGTGTCCTAGCTTCTACATCTGTCATATTTCATCTACCATCAAAGGTAGTCCAGTCGTTCATTCTCCCACAGGATGCCCTTGAAAGGCGGACACCACTAGCATTAACCTGGGCAGGATGGGGCCTGGGGCAGAAAGCCACGTGGGAGTTTCAACACAGGTGTGTCCACTTTTGGTTAACTGACTGAGTGACACACTCCTACTGTGCGCACATCTCACGTTGGCGACATCAGATGGCACTGCAGTGAGGGGGCCAGGAGTCCTAAGTGAAGACTTCTGGGAGAGCTGACTCAGAGGAGTTCCTCAAGGTTGGGGGCCTGCACTTGTCCCTCCAACAACCGAATCCAAGCTGACTCATTCATGCTAAGCAGGACAAGCCTCATGGTTCTCTTCACCTTCTACCTACCCCCTCCACACCCACTCCCAGGGGCCTACCAGCCATCTCAACCTGCCCATGGCACCACACCATCTCTCTCCATCGCCAGCAGCATATGCAACACTCCACTGTGCTACATGTCTACCCCTTGGGCAAAATCTAGCAAATGATGAAAAGTTCCTGGTACCTACCGGGTTAATGGTTTTAGGGTTAAGCTTATCACTTGGTCGCGGATGAACTTTTCTTGCAGACACTGGAGAACTGGTTGGCAATGAGGATCTGCTTCGCTGGACCACAGCCCTGGGTTTTATCTGCACTGCCGAGCGTGTCCTCTGATCACGGTTCCCTGGGAAAAACAGAGCGATGGGTTATCATCAAGCTTGTGCCCCAACCACCTATACTCCAGAAGATGCCATTTCCCAAATGCCCCTCTTCATTTCAAAAGCAGAAGTCTGTACCTGGCACTGTGTTCCTCAGTCGTGCCCCACCGTGGTCTTCTGCTTTCTGCATAACTTCCTCGTGATGCCTGCCATTCAATAAAACTTGATTAGAAATGCTTGCAAGGGGGTTCACAATCAATATGGAGATCTAACCCGAACAAAGAAGACAGTAGGGACATACAAAAAGACAGGGAGGAGAATTCTTGGAGGCGAATATGAACTTAGGAAATCACATGAAATTATATGGCTGCCAATCATACCAGTAGCAGCAATGAACCTGCTAGAAAATAAAGATGTATTAACCATTAACTTTTATCCTCATTAGAAACTCAGCAGTGGCCTCCAACATACGGACCATTGTGAGCTGGCACAAGCCCTGGCAATGTCTCATTCCGTTGTACACAGGTCGCCATGGGCTGGAATTGACTTGACAGCAACTAGCAACATGGTTGCGTGCTTCTATTTCCAATGTGTTCAAAAAGCTGTAAGATGGAACTTCCAAGTTTCTTAATATGTTAGTTGTTTTCGTTGTTAGAGGATGTCTATTCAGTCCTTAAGCATAGCAACCTGCCTGGTCCTACACTATCCTCACAAATACTGTGTTAATCCATCTCACTCAGGGGCTTCCTCTTTTTGGATGACCCTCTACCAAGCATGATGTCCTTTTCCAGGGACCAGGTCTCTCCTGACCACATGTCCACGGTACATGAGACAAAGTCTGGCTGTACTTCTTCAAAGACAGGTTTGTTTGTCCTTCTAGTAGACCAAGAACACTTTCAATATTTTCCCCCAACATCATAATTTACAAGCTTCAATTCTTCAGTGGTCTTCCTTATGCATTATCCAACTTCCACATGTCTATGAACAGAATGGAAATACCTGGCTCAGGTCAGTCTTGCTTTAGTCCTCACGGCGGCATGAACACTCTAAAGACATCTTGTGCCGGAGATCAACTCACTGTAATAGGTCTTTTGATTTCTCAAATGCCACTTCTGTGAACATTAACTGTGGATCCAAGCAAAATGGAACCCTTGACATCTGTCTGCTCTCCTTCATCATGTTGTCGACTGGTGGAGTTCTGAGTTTTGTTTTCTTTACACTGAGTTGCAATCCATGCTGAAGGCTGCAGTCTTTGATTTCCATCGGCAAGGGCTTTAAGACCTCCTCACCAAATAAGATTATGCCATCTGCATATTGTAGGTTGTTAAGAAACCTCCCTCCAATCCTGTTGCCCCTACTTAAGTAGAAAGGACAATTATTATATATAGAGGCTGATATAATTTTCAGTCATAACATATACACACAACATATAAGGATCTCAAAGCACCCTCTATTAGTTTAAACTTAATGTTTCCTTCACTGTTATTTTTCATTGATTGTTAAATATCACCTACTACCTTAAAGACAAATTAAATGTGCTCGATTTAAAAATTAATATCCATCTTGGAGTATACCAGGAGCTCTGGTGGTGTAGTGGTTACAAGTTGAGCTGAGACCTTAAAGATCAGCAGTTCAAAACCACCAGCTGCTGCATAGTAGAAATATGGGGCTTTCTGCTCCCATAAACAGTTACCGTCTCAGAAACTCACAGGGACAGGTCTACACTATCCTATAGGGTTGCTATGACTTGGTATCAACTCCAGGGCAGTGAGTTTGGGGTTTGGAGTATATCAATGACAACCAATTTGAAACAACACCTGTTTGTGAAAGAAAAAAATGCTTACCTCAAAGGCTATAGCCTTCAGTAGGGATTACATCCTCATGCAAAGAAACAAAAATCCTCATTGCTGGACCAGTAAACAATGTCTTGATAAAGGGATAAGAGACTAAGGTTTTCCAGGATTTCATTTTACTTGGATCTGCTATCAAAGTTCATGGAAGCAGCAGCCAAGAAATCACAAGACTACTACACTGGGAAAATCTGCTGCAAAGGAACTTTTTAAATGTCAATGTCTTCCATCCAAGTACTAAGCAGGCCAGACCCTTGCTTAGCTTCTAAAATCAGAAGAGACTCTGCGTGTTCAGGGTGGTATGGCCGTAGACTAAAGTGGTGATGTCCTTTTGTGGACTAAGGTGCATCTGATCCCCAGCTGTGGTA